GGAATAAAGGGCTGGGTAAGACGTCATACACCAACAAACGAGGATGCAGGAGGAATCGGAGGAGGAGGAGCAGGAGGAGGAAGGAGGAGGAGGGAGGAGGAAAGAGGAGGAAGGAGGATGAATGTGTGGATGATGGTGATGATGCTGTTGATGATGCTGATAGTGAAACTGATGATGAGGATGATGAGGACGAGGATGAGGATGAGGAGGAGGAGGATGATGATGATGATGCTGATGAGGATGATGATGGTGGTGGTGATGATGCTGTTGATGATGCTGATAGTGAAACTGATGATGAGGATGATGAGGATGAGGATGAGGATGAGGATGAGGATGAGGATGAGGATGAGGATGATGATGATGATGATGATGATGATGATGATGATGATGATGATGATGCTGATGCTGATGAGGATGATGATGGTGGTGGTGATGATGCTGATGATCATGGTGATGATGAAGAGGAGGAGGAGGAAGAGGAGGAGGACTGCTCAGGGCTGCTCATTGCGCACCAGGGTGCGAGAAGGCGTGCGAACATAAACTTCAGCACCAGCGGAGCGCGCGCAGCCTGTTCTTGCACGACCACGCCGTGGGAAGCTGCGCGGGCGTATGGAGTGCGGCCGTCGCGGCCCGCATGATCGCAGGTGTGGAGGCCTTTGTCGATATTGGCAAGGCTCTCTTGGCCTTTGCTTGTGAGGCCTGCGCCAGGGAGCTGCGAGGCGGCGTGGGTCTTGCGTCGCAGTCTTGCCGCCAGCGCGGCAGGAATACAGGCAGAATTTGGGCATGAAACGGACCTTATGGGTCGCGTCCAGCTCGCGACCGCACACGCTGACGGGGCCAAGGACTGGCTCGACAGTTCACTTGCCGTTGGCCCTGATGGCCTGGGTTCGCACTGGGTGGCACAGACTGCGCGGACGTGCTTTTTGTCTGCTGCGGCGCCGCACGCAGAGCATCTGCGTTTGCGGTCATGCAGGTCGAAGCGGTGCTGACCAGAACGCATGGCGAGTTGGAGCTTTGGCTGCAGATGGTCGCTCCGCAACCCACGGATCGATGGTCAGGGTATGTACTAGCGCACGGCGAGCACGTCGGCGGTGCAGCGCCGACGAGTGCACGATCCCACGAGGCCTGGGCGACTACACCGGACCAGGCGTCTGCGCAGGCATTGTAGAGCGTGCGGTAGAATAGGACGGGGTCGGCTTGAGGAGGAGGAGGAGGAGGTGGAGGAGGTGGAGGAGGTGGAGTAGGTGGAGGAGAGGAAGACAATGACAACAAGGAGGCGAAGGCCTCTTGGGGACACTCTGGAGGCTGGCTTCCCGGGAGCCTGCTGGGGGCCTCTTGGTGCCTCCTGGGGGCCTCTTTGGGCCTCTTGGTGGCCCCCTGGGGCCTGTTGGGCCGTCTTGGACTCTTGGCTGGTCTGACGCCTTCGGGGGGCCATCTTGGAGGCCTCTTTGGGCCGCCGTGTTGCCCTCTTGGAGCGCTTTCAGGACTGCCTTGGGGCCCTTTCGGGAGGTTTTTGGGCGATCTCGGGTCCTCTCAGGCCGACTTGGGGCCCTCTTGAGGCGCCCACTTGGTTGTCTTGCAGCTATATTGGAGGACTCTTGGGCCGTCTTGGGCGGTCGGAAGCCTAGACATCTAAAAGCAAGTCACTGCTTTTGGCCTCCTCGGGCTCTCCTTGAGGGCATCTTAAGAGCACTCTACATTCTGATCACCAGACACCCCAAAGATCAAATTATTCAAGTTGATTTTGGTGTCTGGGGTTTTCGTAGGCTGCGCAGATGCGTTGGCGCGCTCGGCGTCGACGCGCACGCGCGCGATTGTCGAGCTCGTGTGACCTGCGTGTCGGTGCGCTGTCACGGGCGCGGCCGGGTATTGCATTTCTCTCGCTCCAGGTTGATCGCGGAGGGAAATCATGGCACATTTTTGTTTGGGGCGGCGCTCCCCGCATCTGATATTGAGATTGCCCCTGTCTGAAATTCAGATTGCCCCTGTCTGAAATTCTAATCCCCCCCCCCCGGGGACTCGGGCGAGGCGTTCTGCCTGAGACTTTAGACATCAATTATTCAGATTGGCCCGGTCTGAAATTCAGATTCGCCCGGTCTGAATTCCATATTGCCCTGGTCTGAATTTCAGGTGTGGTGGCTCCGCGTGGAAGAATTCTTCGGTTTGGTGCCGCTGCTCTCGGAACGGGCGTGGTCGACATGTGTTCTCTTGCGTGGTTGCGACATGGGGCGAGAGAGTGCTCTTGCACTTCTGTTTGGGTAGCTGGAAGTCGAAGCCCCGATGTTCCCCTGTACGTGGCGCGCCTTGCGGATGCGAAAACAATAGAAGTCGATGTTTCATGCTTGGAGGTGTCTGGTGATGACCACGTAGTCATCTTGGGCCGCTTTGGGGGCCTCTTGGACCATCTTGATGCCATCCTGGGGAGCCTCTTGAGCCGTCGTGGGCCATTCGGACGTTGGGTCGTCTTTCGGCTCTCTTGGAAGTCATCTTGGAGGCTATCTTGGGCGTGTGGAGGCAAACGTGAGCGTCGGAGAGGAAATTCAGGGGGTGGGGGGTGGGGCGTTTCTTTCAGGCAAGCTTGCAGTACGGGGTGGTGGTGGCCCTCGAAAGATTGAAGAACCCTTCGAGACAACAGACGAGCACTCTAACACGCCCACTCCGTGCAGGAGGCACCGTGGCGGACTATTGGACAGAGTTGGCGGGCGCGCGATGTATCTTGAACGTGTTTGACATGCGCGCCTGTTGCCCGCATGGGCTTATCCGACGGAGTTGCCAACAGCCCATTGCTTCCCTCTTGCTAGGTGCGCACTTTTTTACGTTTCGCGTATCCCCACCCGCCCAGTCAAAACCGACGCCCAGGCGAGTTGCCCTGATCAAGGACGTGGGGGAGAATACAGAGAATAAAGGGCTGGAGAACAAAGGCAGGGACATCGTCGTCGTCGTTGTCGTTGTCGTCGTCGTCGTCGTCGGAGCAGCAGGAGGAGGAGGAGGAGGAGGCGGAGGAGGAAGGCGAGGAGGAAGGAGGAGGCGAAAGTGGACAACGAGGAGGAAGAGGAGGACAGGGAGGGTGAGGAGGAGGTGGGGGAGTGGGAGGAGAAAGGACAGATGAGGAGGAGGAGGAGGCTGATAAGTAGTAGTAGCAGGAAGAGGAGGAGGAGATGGAGGAGGAGGAGGAGGAGGAGGAGGAGGAGGAGGAGGAGGAGGAGGAGGGAGGAGGAGGAGGAGGAGGAGGAGGAGGAGGAGGAGGCAAGAGGAGGAGGAGGAGGAGGAGGAGGAGGAGGGGAGGAGGAGGAGGAGGAGGAGAGCGGAGGCGGAGAAGGAGGAGGAGGAGGTGGAGGAGGGGAGGAAGGAGAGGGAGGAGGAGAACAAAGGCGAACAGACGAGCCCGAAGTCTCTTGCTGACCTCTCGGAGTCTCTCTGAATTCTCTCGGAGGTGGACCGGGGGAAACGGAGGATAAGGAGATGAGGAGGAAGAGGAGGAGAGGAGGAGGAGGAGGTGGAGGAGAAGGGAGGAGGAGGGGGGAGGAATCCGAGGAGGTTGAGGATGCGGAGGAGGAGGGGACGGAAGAGGTGGAGGAGAAGAAGAGGAGGAAGAGGAGGAGGAGGAGGAGGAGGAGGAGGAGGAGAATGGAGATGGTAGGATGTGAGGATGATGAGGAGGAAGAGGATAGAGGAGGAGGGGGAGGAGGAGGACGATACGGAGGAGGAGAGTAGGAGGAGGAGGAGGGACGAGGAGGAGAAACATGAGGACGAGGAGGGGGATGAGGAGGAGGAGGAGGAGGAGGAGGAGGAGGAGGAGGAGGAGGAGGAGGAGGAGGATAAGGTTGAGGAGGAGGAGGAGGATGAGGAGGAGGAGGAGGATGGAGGAGGAGGATGAGGAGTAGTAGGCGGATAAGGGGGAGGAGAAGGGTTAGGCGGACTAGGGGGAGGAACAAGGGCGACCATTCGAGTCTCATCGGATGTCTCTTGGGAGTTGTTCTGATGCCGATCGGAGCGTCTGGGGGGGGGGGGGGGGCATCTTGGCGGGCCCAGGGCCGTCTTTGAGCGTATTGAGTGCTTTGGGGGTCCTTTCGAGGCCTCTTGGAGGCCTCTTGTGAGCCTAGTGGAGGCCTCTTGGGCGCCTCTTGGGGCCGTCTGAGGTGCATCGTGTGACCGTCTCGTGGCGCTCTTGTGGACCTGTGGGGCGCTTGGGGGCCTCTTGGAAGCCTTTCGGGTGCCTCCTGGGCGCCTCTTGGGGCCATCTGGACGTCTCTCGGGCCCCCCCCTGGGAGCGCTCTTGGGAGCCTTGAGGACGCTCTTGGGGCCATGTTGAATGACACTGTGCTCTTGAGCGCTTTGGGGGTCGCCTTGGGGCTCTCTTGGACCTCTCTTGGGGCCCTCTTCGGCCATCATGGGGCCGCCTTGAGGCGTCGGACGGCTATCCAAAGCGAGCGGGCGACGATGCAGACATCATTGATTGTCCTTCGGCGGTTGAGGAATGTTGGCTTCTCGTGCGCCTGCTTGGGGGTCTCGGGGGCCTCTTGGAGCCTTCGTGGGGCGGTCTCGGGGACTCTTGGGGCAGCTTTGACGCCATCTTGAGCGACCTTGCGCTTTCGTGGGCCTTCTTGGGGGTCATCGTGGGCTCTCTGAGGTCCTCGTTGGGGCCGTCTTGGGCCATCTTGGACGCTCTAAACCCTCGCGGCCCCACCTGTCCAGGTCCAGGGGAGGTGGTAAGAGGGGGGGTACACCTCCCCCCCGAAGGAGAAGAATGGGGGTTGGAAGAAGAGCCTCCCGAGACCACCTTCGCCCATCGGGCTGGTGGGATTCTGGCAAGCGTTCGTCGGAAAACACATGTATAGTTGCTGAGAATATCTGCCTTCAAATGCTACACGCTCATGGGCGTTGTAATGCTTTTGGCATGCGGGCGCGGTAATTGCCGCTGTTACCAGCGCGTCGTCGGTTAATGTACCACTGTTTGCCATTTCTCTACGTAGTGTGGGACCTTTGTGTCTAATCGTCCAATGGGGGCATGCTTCGATGGCCATCGACTAGGCATACGACGTCCGCGCCCCTGTTCAGAGGGCGGCGGCCCTGGCATCGAGTTTGGAGGAGGACGAGGGCAACTAGGCTTTCCCACCTCTCGGGCGAGGACTGGCCGTCGCCTCAGTGGCGCGACGAGCATTCGCGCAGAGATGGCTTGAAGGGTGGTCGACTGGGGCGGCGAACATGGGAGGGTCGAAGGATGAGGAATAGGAGGAGGAACACCATTAGGAGTAATAATAACCTGAGGAGCTTCATGGAGAGAATCAGGAGGACGAAACCATGGAGGAGAGTCCGATCAGGGGGCCGTTCCAACCAACACAAGAGGGCAAGGCCGAGGAGGATGAGGAGGAGGAGAAAGAAGAGGCTGAGGAGGAAAGAGTAGTAGGATTAGGGGGATGCGGAGGAGGAGGATAAGGAGAACCAGAGCAATCCAAGAAAGCATACGTGATGCTACAGTACACCCGCCTGTCCCAAGTCCCCTCAGACGTCCCTGCACGCGTTCCTTTACACTGCACGACCCCCCCGAACGGCTTGAGCAGTTGGGTCTGCCAGTTTGGCAAAGACACCACGTTGAACCGGAATTGCGTCGCATCTGTCTGACGCTTGGCCAGGGGCGCGACACAATATTGATCATATAATTCAACGAGGTGTCTAGTGACACCCCCTTTCGACGACGCCCCCCCCCCACCTCCGTGTAGCTGCTGCGCATTTTTACAGTTGTGGCCATGAACTTCGGGGACGTCTCAAGCGACAGCTCCAGTGAAAGCGAGCCGCCGTGGTTCCGTGCAGCGCTACGTGTGGTGAAGCTTCATTTTTTAGTGTAACGAAGTCTCAGGCGATAGCTCCATTCTGAAACAAGGCAGTCCTTCATCTGGTCGAGCATGGCATAAACCCGAATGCGCACGGCGCTTAGGCGACGACCGCATGTTGAACAGGCAGCGCCCTCCATGTGTAAAGCTAGCGCGCACGTTTACAACACATGTGTGCGGACCCAATGCGAGCGCCACATTTGAAGACCACCCTCCTTCCATCCGCGAAGCTGCTGCAAGCGCCTCGGCGAGCACCGCAGTTTGGACACTATCTCTCCTCCTCCCGTGGTGCTGGTGCAGTTTTCGTACAAGTTGCGCGGTGCCAAGGCGAGAGCAACATTTTGAACAGACGCCGCCCTCCATCTGTAAAGCTAGTACAAACTGTACAGCGCACTTGCGCGGCTCCCAGGCGAGAGCAACATTTTGACGGCTACCCTCCTTCCATCCGTGGGGCTCTTGCACGCGTTCAAGACCAATGCGTGCGGCGCTTAGGCGAGAACCGCATGTTGAAAACGGACCGCCCTCCATTTGTAAAGCTAACGCACACGTTTACAACAAACGTGCGCGGCTCCTAGGCGAGAGCCACATTTGAAGACCACCCCTTCCATCCGTGAAGCTGTTGCAAGCGTTCAAGACGAATGTGCGCAGCGCCTCGGCGAGACGCGCATTTTGAACGCCATCCCTCCTCGTTCGATTAAGCTGCTGCGGTTTGCTTGACACATGTGCGCGGCGCTTAGGCGAGAACCGCATTTAGAATTCTATCCTTCCTCTTTCAGTGAGGCTGTGGCATGTTTTTACGAATGTGCGTGGAGCCAAGGAGAGAGCAACGTGTTGAAAAGGAATTGCTGCCCATCCGTGAATCGACTTCAAGCTTCTGAGACGAATGTTCGCGGCGCTAGGGCGGTAGCCACATCATGTTGCACTTGTTTCAGGCGGGTGCGCGCGGCATTAAGGCGACACCTAGTTATTCTTGCAAAGGATCCGTGCTCCATCGGTGAAGCTGTTGACGCTTTGAAAACAAATGTGCGCGGCGCAAGGGCGAGAGCAAGCTTTTGAGACCAACCTTTTCATCTTTGAAGCTGCTACGCCCTTCTAGGGCGAATGTGCGTGGCGATGAGGCGAGAGCTGCATTATGATCCCCCTCAATTCGTGAAGCTGGTGCAAGCCCCAAGCTTCAGGATCATAAGTGGTGAGGAAAGCTGAGGCCAAGCGCCTGACAAGGAACAGGGGTGGGGGAGGAGGAGGAGAACGACGAGGAGGAGGACGGGGGGGAGGAGGAGGCGAGGACATGGAGGTACCAGAGAGAACGAGAGAGAGAGAGAAAGAGAAAGAGAAAGAAAGAGAGAGAGAGAGAGCGGCCCTGATGGAAAGAGGTTTTTCCTTTCATGGGGACCAGGTAGGCCCAGACCTCCGATGTCTCGTTATTTCGACGGCGGGGGATTCTCAAGTGGCGGTTTGCTGCGTCCCATTTATCCAAAATCACACTCTCGCCCCGCCGCTGCGCACTTTTTTGAACACTGACATTCTCGCCTCGACGCCGCGCGCATTTGTTGGTTCAGAGGTGTTTTTTTTCAGGGGGGATGGGTGGTGGCGTGTCGTTTGCGTATTACTCGTGTCGGCGCAGTATAAGTGCTCTGGCCCTGATGACCCCCATTGGCATTGCATTGGCGTGGTTTGGCATAGGACTTGCGCTGCATTGTGTCGGCAGTGCGCTGGCCTTGCGCTTGCATTGCGCTGGCGACTTCCGTTGAAACCTCGACAGAAGGAATCTGGTGACAACCGCCATGGGAAGGATTCCTAGTACCCCCTCCCTGCAAGACCAATTCATATGGAATCCGGAACCATAAGGATCCCTATGTTCAATCTCTTTCCCCACGCACGCACAAACGGATTCCTGAACAAGTCCTCCACCGAACACATCCAATCTAAATCATCCACAGAAGGGTTTCTCGTGAAATGCTGGAAAAGGGATGAGTTTCGCCAGCATCGAATCGCATTGAATCGGGATTGGCATGCAACGACCACGTGCTAGCATTGCACTGGCATTGTGCCAAGGCAATGCCTTGGCTAGGACTTGCATAGGATTGCCTAGGCACTTGCAGCGGCCTGTTGATTTCCTCCACAGAAGGCTCCTACTGAAATCCTGCATTGCAGGATTCCTAGTTCAATCATCCACAGAAGGATTGCCATTGAAACGTAGAAGGCAAACTATTCATGGGTGCCCCTTGGTATTACATTGTCCCTGCGCTGGCAAAGCGCTGGCATATCACAAGCATTGCCTTGGAATCGACTTGGCACTGCATTTCTCTTGTATCCCCCTCGTACTGTTGAGGCCCTTTATAGAAGGATTTCAATAGAATTCTTCAGAAGGCCCCTACTGAAATCCTCCATCGCATGTTCCTAGCGCAGTCCCCCACATAAGGATTGCGATTGCAAGGTAGAAAGACGGATTCATCGGTGCCCCTTGGCATTGCGTTGGCCTTGCGCTGACAGAGCGCTGGCATAGCACAGGCATTGCCTTGGAATCGACTTTGCACTGCATTTCTCTTGAAACCCTTCATACAGGGATATCTATAGAATAGCTCCGCAGGAGGACTCTTACTGAAACTCTGAGCCTCTATAGTAGGATTCTTAGTTCAATCATTCACCGATTGAAATAGAGAAGGAAACATCTTCATTGGTGCCCCTTGGCATTGCAATGGCCTTGCGCTGGTGAAGCGCTGGCGCAGCACAAACATTGCCTTGGAATCGACTTGGCACTGCCTCTCTCTCGAAGCCCAGCATCTAAGGATTCCTATGCAATTCCTCCACAGAAGGGTCCGATTGAACTCCTCCGTAGCAGGATTCCTGGTTCTGTCCTCTACAGAAGGATTGCTATTGCAATCTTTTTTGACATTCCACTGGTGCACATTGGCATTGCAGTTGCCTTGCGCTGGCATAGCACATGCATTGCCTTGGAATCGATTTGGCACTGCATTTCTATCGAATCCCTTCATACACGGATTCATGCTGAATTCACCCACAGAAGGGCTCCGGCTGAAACCGTTTATTGCAGGATTCCTAGTTCAATCATCCACAAGGATTTATATTGAAATATAGAATAAAAGGGTTCACTGGGTGCCTCTTGGCATTGCATTGGCCTTGCGCTGGCAGGGCGCTGGCACAGCACAAGCATTGCCTTGGAATTGCGGTGGCACGCATTCCCCTTGAAACTCGAAACCCTGCAAAGAAGGAGTTTAAGTGAACTCCTCCACATAAGGTTCTTACTGAAACCCCAGAAGCAGGATTCCTAGTTCAATCATCCACAGAAGGATTTCTATTGGAATGTGGAACAAACGTTCACTAGTGCCCCTTGGCATTGCATGACCCTGCGCTGGCTTAGCGTTGTCATAGCACAACCATTGCCTTGGACTCGAACTGCATTGTATTCCCTTTCGTAGAGGGATTCCTATCCCATTCCTTCTTAGATGGCTCCAGCTGGAATCCCCACTAGCTGACGGGCTCCTATTGAAACCCTCTATGGCAGGATTCCTAGTGCACATCCACATACAGGGTTTCATTGAAACGTAGAAGAAAAAGGGTTCACTGGTGCCCCTTGGCATTGCATTGGCCTTGCGCTGGCAGGGCGCTGGCACAGCACAAGCATTGCCTTGGAATTGCGGTGGTATGCATTCCCTTTGAAACCTTGCATAGAAGGAATTCGAGTGAATTCCTCCACAGAAGGTTCTTATTGAAACCCCAGAAGCAGGATTCTTAGTTCAATCATCCACATAAGGATTTCTATTGAAATATGGAACACACATTCACTGGTGCCCCTTGATATTGTATGACCTTGCGCTGGCAACGCGCTGGCATAGCACAAGCGTTGGCTTGGACGTGAATTGCATTCCATTCCCCTTGAAGTCCTTCATAGACGAATTCTTTTCAAATTCCACTTCAGATGGCTCCAACTGAAATCCCACATAGCAGGAGTCCTATTCAATCATCCACAGCGAGATTTCTATTGACATAGAGAAGGGAAGTAGGTTCATTCCTTTCGCGTTGAATACCGTTGAATGTGGGTTGACATTGCACTGGCCAAGTGCTGGCGTTGCACTGGCATTGTGCTGGCGTCGCATTGGCACGGGCATGGCGTAGACTTTCATAGCACTGGTGTTGCTTGGCATTGCATTGGCCTTGCGCTGGCAACGAGCTAGCGAAGCATTGGCATTAATTAGCATTGCATTCCGACTGAAGCCCTCCACAAACAAAGGTTTTGATTTAACATGATCCACATGATGATTTCTATAGAAAGCCTCCACCGGAAGGCAGCATAGCATTGATGCCTTTTGGCGTTGCGATGGGCCTTGCGCTGGCAAAGCGCTAGCACAGCAGTGCCAGTGCCTTGGCATTGACTTGGCGTTGCGTTCGTATGGAAAGTGTACAACAATTCCGCATCGAAACCCTCCACAAACAGATTTCTCTTGCAATCCTCCACAGAGAGATTCTTAGTGAAATTCTACACAAGAAGGGTTCCCGTTGAAACACTCCACAGAAGGACTCCTGCGAAATCCTTCGCGCAAGGATTCTTCTGGAAACGCCCGCAGAACGATTCCGATTGGAATCCTCCACATCAGGATTTCCATTGAAATCCTCCATCGAAGGATGTCCATCATCCTTCACATAAGGATTCCGGTTGAAATCCCAAATATGAAAGCTTGCTATGGAAATTTTCGACATAATGATTCCTATTGAAATCCTCCACAGAAATTCCAATTTAAACCGTCCACAGAAGGTTTCCTGTTGAAGTGCACAAGAGGAACGACTCATCGCTTTCGCATTGAACTGGCATTGAACCCGAATTGGCATTGCGTTGGCCATGTGCTGGCATAGTGCTTGCATGCGGTGGCACGGACCTAGCATGGAATTGGCACCGCATTGGTGCTCCTTGGCCTTGCGTTGGCTTTGCGCAGGCACAGCGCCAGCATGGCACTGGCATTGCGTTGGCATGGAATTGGCATTGCATTCCTGTTGAATCCTTCACAGGAGGACTCCTTCTGAAACCCTCTACAGAAGGATTCCCAGCGAAACCCTCCACATAAGGGTTCTCATTGAAAATTCCACAATATGGATTCCGACTGAAACCCTCCACATAAGGATTCCTGTTGAAACCCTCCACAGGAGACCTTCTCTGAGGCAGTCTGGCACCATGTGTGAATGCTGGGGGAGGAGAGGGGGGGGTGGGGGCAAAAAATCGGTTGAGCATGTTGTCAACATTTTTGTTGTTGTTTCCCCCCCACACACACCCCGCCCATCCATCCCCCCACATGCGCCACCACATGCGGCGTGGACGGTTCCTCCCTCTCCCTCTCCCTACCTCCCCTCCCGCCTGGGGCTCGAACCTCTACAAGTCCGCTTCACGGAAATGTGTGCGGCGTCGAGGCGGGAATGTCGTTTTTGAAAAAGTGTGCTCGGCGCCTAGGCGAGAGTGTGATTTTTAGAGAATTTGGGCTCCCAGACCGCCACTTGAGAATATCCCGTTTTCAGTTTTTTCCCACTCGGAGTCACCGTGCTTCTGGAACACTTTCCAGGCTCCTGTATTTTGTCCGAGATCTTTCGGATTTGTTCGATTGTCTCAGAGCTTAGACACGGCCCCCACGGGTAGCACATGCCTAAACAAGTAAGTCTTGATTTGTTGAAGACGTTTGGAGGTCTGGGGACGAGGTGGAGGTTGGAGGAGGTTGGAGGAGGAGGCGGAGGAGGAGGAGAAAGAGGAGGAGGAATAATCTGTGGAGGAGGAGTAGAGATCGTGGAGTTGGCCAGATGGAGAAGTGCCTTTGGAACGAGGCCTCCCCGCCTGGCCCGGAAGCGCCGCGCAGAACGAGATGCCGGTCCGGTTCGCCGAGCGGATCCGGGTCATCGAGGGCATCAGGCACTGGAGGGCGATACCCGAGCTGGTGGAGGCGAGCTCCTCCTCGCTCTCCTCCCGCTCTTCCTCCAACTCCTCCTGATGCCCCTCCGAAAGAACTCTTCCTCCAGCTTCTCCGTGCGTGGTAGATCCCAGAGGCTGCGGCCTCAGCCACCTGGTCTCAGGTAGGCCCAGACGCTTGTGCGCAGCGGTGGTCGTTTGTTCGTTTGTTCTGCAGTGCACATTATGTACATTACTCTCCTCTCTCCCCTGACTCTGTCCAGAGATGTTCTAGACGCTTCGCGTAACCCACGCAGTACACGTCGTCTAGGGCGGTTGGAGCCTGGCGCCCCACTGGCGACTCGCTCCTCGGGCCTCGCGCCTGCCCCCACTCAGAATGACGGACTCGGTTGCTCAGGTACACGTCTTGTCACTGTGTGGGCCGTGCCTCATGGCAGGCATCGAATTCCTGGACATTTTGTCCAGTGCATGTGCTCGAGCTTCCCAGGATGCCCCCCGCCGTCAGTCCCCCCACTGCCTCGCGGCTGCTTTGTGAGTGGGCCGGCCGGCTAGTGCGCCTCTTGTAGCTAATTAGGCTTGCCCGTTGGCCCGGACACCCTGCCCGCCGCCTGCCTCTTCGCTCGCGGCCGCGACCGAAAAAGTAACCCCAGCAGTCCATCCAGAAATGATGCCCAGGTGAGTTGCCCTGATCAGGGATGTGGAGGAGAATGCAGTGGAGTAAGGGGTTGGGGAAGCCGTCATGCCCCACGAAGGGGAGGATGGAGGAGGAATCGTAGGAGGAGGAGGAGGAGGAGGAGGAGGAGGAGGAGGAGGAGGAGGAGGAGGAGGTGGAGGAGGACGTCGACGACGACGACGACGAGGACGAGGAGGTGGGGAGGGCGGAGGGGGGACGAGGAGGAATAGGTGGATGAGGATGAGGAGGGTAAACAGGATAAGCAGGATGCCTCCAGTCTCTTCCTCTACCGTACAGAAGAGACCTGTCATGGCCCAGGGGCCCTCATCCAAACGGCCTCCCCGTGGTCGGGTGCTGGCCCTTCCACATGCGGTTCCATCTGTCCTGTGCAGTGGCTCGGCGGCCCTCGCACTCGCTCCTGTCGAGACCCTGCCAACGCTGTTGGGCGTAGCAGGCACAGACTCTGACGCATAGCCTTGTATCACCGAGCGCGTTCCACTACTCGCAAAGTGCATACTCGCAAACGTCAGAAAAAAAAAGGTTTCCCTCAGTGTAGTGTATCGTAGATCCCTCGCGGCGGTGCGAGTAGTTACTTTGCGAGTAGTGGAACGCGCTGGTCCACTGTAGGATTTTGAGCAGGTGCCGGTTTCTCCGTGCCAGCTCTGCCCTGAGAGCCGCGTCTCGGCCCTCAGGTTGTCCTCCCGACCTGGCCGAGGGGCGTCCAGCCCATTCAGCGGCCCCCATCGCTTCTTCCCCGAGCCCCCGACGACGCTCCACGACCCCAGTATCCGTCCCACCTGTACTCGGGGCCTGCAGCGGCTCGTCCTTGACCGTGTCAAGTACCTCCGATGACAGGGCTAGGACTTTCGCAACGAACTGCAAAGTGCTATGGGCTTCCTTAAGCGTGCGCAGATCATCCTCTACGTGCCATTCTGGGTATGCTAGCGAAGCTGCTCCTAGCTTCGTACCTCTGCCCGCGACCTCATTGCCCCGGAAGTGTTTCGACTACCGTGGCGTGTGCCCCTCCTTTTGCTGTGGTCCGCCTGTAGGCCCAGTCCGAATAACTCCAACGCAAGGTGCCAGGCCCGTTTTTTCGCATCTTGGAGGGTATTGATCAAATAAGAGGTGTGTGTGTGTGTGTGTAAATTACACTCCCCCCCAGAGTACCCGAATGGGCCCCAAACCAACACACCATATCAATGGTGCTTGCCGTCTCGCCGAGGCCGCCCTGGACGCTCCAAAGGGTCGCGCACACCCGCGTCCAGGTCCAGGGGGAGGGGGTAGGGTGCGGGGGGTAAACCCCTTCCCGAATGGGGAAGAGGGAAGAGGAAAGATGGGAAAGGAAACGCTCTAAACACTCAGGCCCAGAGGGCTGATGGGATTCGGCCCTCTCCGCGCGTAATTTTTTGCACATGACTTCGAGCATTTGGTTTTCTTATGGTTCTGGTGCAATCCGGTTGTCTTTGGTGTTAGAAAATGTTGTTCCCGCTGCAGCGTGGGTCTCATTTTTGGATCGGCGTTTTTTCTTATGGTTCAGGATGACGCTCTCGCCCTAGCGCGGGCACTTTTCTGGATCCGAGTCTTTTTTCACCGTTGCCGCCCCCCTCATTTCCCTCCTCCGCCTTCCCCTGGTCCTTCTGTTTTTCCCGCTCCTGCTTCTGCTGTTCGTCCTCGTCCTCCTCCTTCCTCATCCTCCTCCTTTTCCTCTTGCTCATGCTCTGGCTCATCCGCCACCTCATCCTCGAAGGTACGCAGCCTCTATTTGATTCGATCGCGCATAAACGATGGGGTCCTCTTTGGAGTTCCAAAGCCGCTATGACACGCGACGGCGGATACAGAATCCACAGAGGAATGGGAAGCGATGGGTGGCAGAGCAAGATGTCATACATGGCGCGCGAGACCTAGCTTATCTTGCTCCTCCTCTCGCTTCTCCCTCCTTCTCCTCCTCTTCGTCCAACCTTTTCCCAAGCCAGCTTCTCCTCCTCTGGAGCTTCCTCCGTTTCCTCCTTTCAGGGCTTCCAGAGCTGGTGGAGGCAAGCTTCCCTGAGATCGAGGCGTCGCAAGACAATCGCGACGGCCATTTGCTTTTCGTGATTGCGGCCTCGGGGGGCCGTTTCCCTGCTCCGGGACCGTCTCAAACGGCTCGGGATGGAACTTGTTCCTTGAGAAGAGGTCCAGACCCCCCAACTTGAGAAGAAGTTCAAAATGTGAAAAGGGGCTTTCGTCGCGGAAAAAAACCATGCATTGCTGGAGGAGAGGGTTGATCTATTTCGTGTGTTTTGGCGTCTAGTCGGGCCCAGGTTCGGTGGCAGGGATGAGCTTCGATGAGGCGGCTCAGAAGAGGGAAGGGGGATGATGCTGCTGCTGATGATGATGCTGCTGCTGCTGACGATGCTGCTGACGATGACAATGACGATGACGATGCCGATGCCGATGACGATGATGATGATGCTGATGCTGGTGGTGATGATGCTGAATATGATGATAATGATGCTGATGCTGGTGGTGATGATGATGCTGATGATGACGACGACGATGATGATGATGATGACGATGATGATGATGATGGCGGAGATGATGACGATGGT